GTTGGTGAGATGACTAGTGGGAAAAACATCTGCTTCAGAACCTGACAACCTGTATTCAGTCCCTGGAACCCACCTAAAGGTGGAAGGAGAGAACTGACTCCACAAAATTACCATCTGAGTTCCACACATGGACCAACACATTCACATCATACATACATGATGATAATAATACTAAGAATTTTTAATTAAAAATCTTGATCCTGATCTAGTAGTTGTGTTTATTTGTTTGTTGCATATATCCTAATTGGTTTTAATAAAAACCCAGAATCAGGTTTCAGGGTGAAAACTGAAAGATCAGAGAAGCAGAGCAAGCCACAGCCACCACCCCTTACTCACCAACTCCTCAGCCTGAAGGAGCCTCTGCAAGAGAGCAAATTCCTGTCTTCTCCCACCTTATATTCCTTTCTCTGCCCAGCCATACCACTTCCTGTCTCAACCTTCCTAGTGCTGGGATTAAAGGTGTGTGATCCTGAGTGCTGTAGTTAAAGGTGTGGGCCACCACTGCCTGGCTCTGTTTCTCTTTTAGAGATTAATCTAGCCCAGCGTGGCCTTGAATTCACAGAGATCCAAATCTCTGCCTCTTGAGTGCTAAAATTAAAGGAGTGTGCCACCACTGCCTGACCTCTATGGCTAACTCTGTGGCTAACTCTGATCTTCAGGCAAGCTTCATTAGAGTACAACAAAATATCATCACAGTTTGTTTGTATCTTAAGATAGGGTTTCTTTGAGTAGTTTTTGCTGTCCTGGAGCTTACTCTATAGACCAGGCTGGCCTTGAACTTAGAGATCCACCAGCCTCTGGCTCCCAAGTGCTGGGATTAAAGGCATGTGCCATCACTGCCTGGGCATAGTTATTGATTAAAAAGAAGTATTCAAGGATTGCTGCCACATAGCTTAAATATGTCTTTCTTGATCACACTTCATGAGATGAGGCCATAATAAACACTTAGAAATAAACAGACTAGGGTCAATAATGATGTTTCCTTGATCATTCAGTATGCTCAAGCTAATATAATTTTAGACAAAAGCCACTTAATATGATACAATAATACTAAAATATAACTAAATTGAAAAATATCAGCAAAATTATAAATAATAGTAGATGCTTCAATAGCTCATACTTAGGCAAGACACAGTCCTAAGTACATAGACAAATTTTTGCATTTAACTTCCCAACAACCTGGTGAGGCAGTCATTTTAAGTGGGCAGCTTACACACAAAGAAACAGAAGTTTAAGAAAGTTAAACAAGTCACTCAAGGCCACAAACTTGTATCAAGAATGGAGCCTAAGTCTCCAAAAATCCTAACTCCTTCCCATTCTGTGGTCTTGCATTTAGCACATTAAACACAACTGAACAGGTATTAAAACTTGAATAGTTCATAAAAACTTGAGTGTGATTTTCCTTGTAGAGTAAAGGGAATGGGCACATTGCTTTAGCTGGGAATGTAGTCACAAACATAGGAGGGGTTGTGTTCAAAGAGGAACAGGTAAAACTGCCATTAGTAGCGGTGCTGAAAGAGGAGCCTGCAAGGTATACACAGCCCATCTCATGAAAGAACTGATTGGCATAGGAATTTTGACATGTTCCAGAAGGCCCTGGATCATCAGTTATATTACAGAATGAGAATTCAAATGTCAGTATGGAAAATACATTGGATACATATTAACCAAGAGTTCTTAACAATAGAGGTAAACTGGGACTATCAAAGTGATAAACATGAAGCCCTTGTTGTGGGGCAGGAGGGGATAGCTCCCTTGTGTCAGAACATGATCAAAAGAATGACCCATGGTGAACAATGCCTTGGGGAACTGTGAGACAGGCTCCAGGAGCAAAGGCAGAGGGCCTTTTACCTCAGGTGCATTTTGTTCTCTGAATTGTTCTTGGACATGATTTCATGCCTCCTGTGACAGACAATTACATTCAATTTGTAAGACATGTTCATTCTTGTTGAATATCACAACATAGGTAGAGAATCCAATCTGGTCAGTGTACCCCAGATCTGGATATGGCCTTCTGCCTGGCTTTCATCCTTTCCCAGATATAATCTATAGTAAATGTCAGGAAATTGTGTTTAAATTGGTCTGTCCTGAGAAAGTTCTGGGAAAGGGCTGCTCTATTAATATTTGCTATGTGCTTCCTGATGTCTATTTACATGCTTTTCTGATCATGCCTTTCTGAACTCAGCCTTCCTCGGATCACTGTTTTCTTTGTTACATTTGTGTATAATAGTACACTGAAAGTGAAGTAAGGCTGTCAGCTGCATTAGACTGCAGTCTGCCCATCTGTGGTTCTTCCAGGTCCTCAGATCCCGTGTCTTGCAGACACAGATCTCCAAGGCCCACAGGTGACTGTTGGGTGTGTGCAAAAGTGGGAAAGGACGCAGTCAACGAAGGCTGTCCTAACTTTTTCACCCATAAAATTTCCTGCCCTGGGTTATGCTTTACTAACCCAATTGGGAGTCATCAATTCTGACGTCAGAGGAAAGATTGACGGTAAAATTCATTAGGTTTCCTGAATAAAAAAAAAAGTGTAATGTCTTCCAAGAAAATAATTAAACCACCATGGGTCTCATCTGTATAATTTAAAATTATGAAGTAGGTCATTACTTGGTGTCCTGAGTCTAGGGTGCATCTAAGCTAGTGGATAATCAGACTCCATCTGTCCAAAATTAGTCAAATTACTCTGCATGCCCGGAATGAAAATGCATTCATTTCATTTTAGGGTTGTCAATGTATTGTCAAATGTAATTCATATGTGTCTTGATTATCCATTCTGATTTTCCTAAAGTGCTTGAATCTTGCTTAAATAAAAAGAAAAAGAATAGATGAGATGTGTAATAAAGTCTCTCAATCAAGAGCTCAGAGCCATAGAAAGAGGGAAGTTGGATAGTGCTATGGTCTTGATCTGAAAAGTCTCCCACAGGTTTGTGGGTTTGAACACATGGCCCCAGCCAGTAACACTACCCTGAAAGGTTGTGACAACTTTAGAAGGTGGGATCTCATAGGAGCGCATGGGTTCCTGTCTCACGCTGTGCCTCCAGGTGTAGCCACCACGTAAGTATCTCTGCAGCATGCTCCTGTCACCAGGATGCTGCCCCACCATCCCTTCCCTACCACAAGGGATGGAAATCCTGTGCCCAAATAAATCTTTCCTTCTTTCAGTTGTTCCCATCAGTTTATCACAACAACCGGACAATTAACCAATTCAAACGGAATATTGTTATCCCTACTTATAAGACAGGGAAGATAAACAGACATGTGACAAGTTGCCGGGTGTTGAGGAAGTCAATTAAGCCAGCAAGCCAAATGGAAAGTAACCACCAAATCTCTTGAATATGTTTTTCAGCAGTGGTGCAGACAGAGGACGGAAAAGGAAGACACTGGCTCCCCAGGGTTCCATTTTTGGAATGGCAGAGTGAAATGGAAGCACAGATGGGAGAGATCGTCTTACTGCCAAAGGGCCCTAAATAAAAGGCTCCTAATGTTTCTTATTGACTTGTGAGGCAGCAGGAAGGAAAAGGAAAGACTAGGAATGAACAAGCACCAAGTCATTCTAAAGAAAACTGCCTCCAGAAAAATCCTCAGTAACAAGGTCTTGGCAAAAGTACCTGGGAAGTGTCTCAAACAATGTCCCAGTAGAGACACCTCCAAATGCAGGCACCTGCTCTGGAAAGTGTAGCCATTCACACTTCTGTCGATGCCACATTAAAGAATAAAAAAAAGATGCTTCTTCTTGGAATAGGTTAAACCAACACCTAACCCAAGTTTGAATTCTCCACTTCTCTCCCTGTGTCTTCCATCTGTCCTCTTGTCTGTGTTCTGTCTGACTGTTGAGTGTGTCTGTCTGTCTGCCCCTAACAAGGGGCTTTATGTTATATTTATTAAATAGCATAGAAAACATGAATGGGAAAGGAATGGGGAATTTTTTATTTAATTGTTTCGAGACAGGGTTTCTCTGTGTAGCCCTAGCTGTCCTGGATCTCACTCTGTAGACCAGGCTGGCCTCAAACTCACAGAGATCCACCTGCCTCTGCTTCCCAAGTGCTGGGCCTAAAGGTGTGTACTTTTTTTTTTTTACAGAAAATTTTAAGAGTTTTACAAAGGAAGGAGTTGCTTTCCTGACACAGAATAGCACTTAAAGTTGCAAGCAGATGTTATCAACCTATATCTACATGTTGAGTTCAACATTTATGGTGGATATTTGTTTTCTTTAAGATCAAGGTCAATCTACTGGCTGCTTTCAGCAAATGATTGCCACAACACACACACACACACACACACACACACACACACACACACACACACACACACACCATGCATTTGTATACATTGTTCTGGGTTGTAGTGTAAAATAATACATCATTTTAAGATTAAAGCTATTGGCCAGGCGGTGGTGGTGCACACCTTTAATCCCAGCACTCGGGAGGCAGAGCCAGGTGGATCTCTGAGTTTGAGGCCAGCCTGGGCTACAGAGTGAGACCTAGGACAGGCACCAAAACTACACAGAGAAACCCTGTCTCGAAAAACCAAAAAAAAAAAAAAAAAAAAAAAAGATTAAAGCTATGGGTTTAGCCATTTCCTTCCTGAGTTGCTTTTGGTCATGATCTTTATCATAGCAATAGAAATCAAACTAAGACAGAAAGGTAAGAAACGTTTTTGGTAAGAGTTATTCCCACAAACATTGCTGATCCAAAAGGGCCTTAGCCCTTGTCTGCATCTCCCTCCACAATACAACAGTGTTCAGGCTGTGCAAGAAGTCTGATGTGGACAGAGTGACTTCTCCCATAAAATCTGCCAGTTAAAGCCATGTGGTTACCTGTGGGGCCTCAAAGAGGAAAATCCAGATCGGATATTAAATGAAGTAGACTCAGCTGTCCAATGGGCCAATTTGCCCAAAGCCACAAATTGTGAACAGACATCACAAAATGATATTTATTTTTGTAATTTCATGCAATTACTAGGGGCAATTGTTAACTTCATTTATTTATATTATACTTTAGGAGGACAAAAACTGGACACAGGCCTTGAATAGAGAAAGAAGAAACTTAACCAATCACCAACTTTACTGACTTCTCACTCAATCAACTTTGAGAAAAGAGGGAAAGGAAAAGAATGGGGATCGGAAAACTATTTGACCCCCCTCGGTCTTCTGAACATTGATGGGTCTGCTTTTGCCACACCAGACTTGAGCATCTCCTGTCCGATCAGCACTGGAAGGGGGCTCTTCCAGGCTGGAATGCTGCTCATATTCCAGCAGTCTTTAACAATGGACTCTCGAACTTTCGTTCTTGTTACCTCTCACTCAGAGGATTGTAATAGACCTCCACTTACCACCTCTGCCTCTGGTTTATTGTCCCCACTCGAATACCTGGTAAGCAATGAAGAGTGTAGCACAGGACCCCCTTTGGAAGTCAGAGGTGGACAATCCGCAACTGAGCCCACAAGAGAACAAGGTCTAGGGATACAGCCTTTTTAAATGTTTTATAATAATCTATTTATCTTTATTTTATGTGCATTGGTGTTTGGCCTGCATGTATGTCTGTGTGACAGTGTCAGATCTTGGAGTAGCAGACAGTTGTGAGCTGCCGTGTGGGTGCTGGGGATTAAATCTGGGTCCCCTGAAAAAGCAGTCAGTGCTCTTAACCACTGAGCCATCTCTCCAGCCCTGTGATACAGTCTTTTAAACAGGCAAGCTTATCCATGAATGAATTAGGGGAAAAGAACACTCCACTTCTTTATTCATTTATTCAATAAGTAATTATAATTAATATTTATTAGTGTATATAGTTACTATATTCTGGAGGTGAAAATATTCCCCCTAGTAAATAATGGGGGTGTTGAAATAGGAATTTCAGTGAGGGATTCACATAGATGACATTCCAGTAATTAGAAAGGGCAAAGTGGTGTTTTCTAGATGCAGGAAGGAGAGGAGAGAGGCGGGGGGAGAGGAAAGGAGATACATAGGCAAGACATATCCTGGCACATTCTGTTTGCAAGTATTTCACTCTGTCTGGAGATCAGGAGTGACAGAGGTTGTAATGAAGGACACAGAAGATACAGCAAGAAGCAAATCAGAACTAAGAAAATGGGGCTTTGTATTCTTCTAGGATGAGAAATTGAGGGTTTAATCCTGTATGTACTTGAGGTACCCTTTGTAGAGTTTTACTTAAGTAACAATAGATTTTTTTTTGTTTCAAAAAGCCCAACCTGGCAGTTTTCTAAAGCAGTGAAGGGAATAAGTGACTACAGGCACAACTGTCTACAGTCTTAGTGAAAAGGCTGGGGGCCTGAATTGGGAAGAAAAGAAATGAAAGAAAGAAGAAAGAGTGGATGTGATGGGTATGGAGGAATTAGAATTTAAAGGAACTGGTAACTCAGTAGATGTAGGAATTTGTGAGACAATTTGGAATGATTTGCTTGTTTGGCTTTGGTGAAAGATGGATAGGTTCACTGAACTAAAGGGTGAGGGAGAAGAGAAAGTGTTTCAGGCATGCAAAGCTTCAGGTGACTATTGAACACTCGAATAGTGAGATCCAGAGGGCAGTTGGAATAAGAGCTACATTTCAGGGAAAACTGTGGATGATCGTCATGTGCTCCTAGGTAATGTCTGAAGCAATGATAAACCACCTTCCTCTTTGTAGCCCTGCCAGTAACATTGCTGCTGAACTCATCATCTCTTTTGAACTGTGACAATAGTCTCCATAATGATCTTCAGGCTCTATCCTTTCCATTTGTTCTTCATATTTCCATCAGGGTGATATTTCTAAATATAATATATATTATCATTCAAAGTGTGTACTCAACAAAGTAAAACCTATACTTCTAGCTTTGGGTCTTATGACAGGTAAAGAATAGGACAGCTTCATTGAAAACATCTATTTTTACATCCTGTCTTACAAGGCTATCGAACTTTAGGATTATTCCAAGGAAATATTGGGAAAGTAGGTCCTACTTTCTGAGCATGGTGGTGCATGCTTTCAATCCTAGCTCTCTGGACCTTGGGGCAAGAGCATCAAGAGTTTAAGGACAACTCGAGCTACCTAACTGAAAGGCAGACATGAACAGATGGTCTCTAAATTTTTGATAGGCTGTCTGGTACTTCTACCATAAAGTCCCAGACACATTAGCTATGGCTTTGGCCTCAAACCCCAATTAGAAATCAAGGAAAATACACTGGGGTTTTGAAGTATCTGGATGTGATACATTTAGGATAGGCAGTTTTGAGAATTCTACATGCTGATAGAAAGATTCCCTTGACCCCTTATTCCTAGATCTAATTCCCAACTCTGACCCACATTCTTACCACTTGAGTGACTCTAACACACAGCTAAAAATTACTCAAAGGAATGGTGGCTTTCCCTCCTCCCTACATCTCTAGGATGTGAGACAGAGTCCAAGCTGGCAGCTGCTAGTCCAAATGAAACTTGCTAACACCTTTTGTAAGTCAATACAGCAATTCCCTGTGCAATATTAGTTTTTAAAATCTTTATTCCTTCCTTGCTATTAAAATGTGAATCTAAACCTGCCTTACTGGTGAGGTTGACATTTTGGCAGTTGCTAATCAAGTAGAGCTAGAACACTATTCTTCCTTAGGGAGGGTAATTGATTTACAGTTCATCACTCCTGGCCCAGTTCAATCATGTGGACTTGGAGGGTGCTTCTGATCATTAGCTCACATGCCAATCACCTGAAGAACCCAGCTAAAATTGAGATTCTGATTCAGTTGGTCTGGGATGAGATTCTAAAATGCCCCAAGATTGGATGTTGCTGGACAAGGAGCAGCCTTTCTGTAGCAAGGGACTGGGGGGTAGCACAGGGGTTCGAATGCTTCCTCTGTCACTCTGTTTTGTTTTTTTTTTTTTTTGGTTTTTGTTTTTTTTTTTTTGTTTGTTTGTTTTTTTTAACCCCAGCTCTAACTGTAAGTGGATGTGTTCTCTGGGGACATTTCCGTTATTAACTGTATCTCAATGCTGTGGTTTGAATCTGAGATGGCCCCCCTAGGATCATGTGGTTGAACACTTGGTCCCCAGCCAATGCTGCTGTTTGGGAAGGTTATGGAACCCTTAGGAGGTGGAGCTTGCTATGGGAAGTTACTCCCTGGGGATGGACTTTGAGGCTGTTCTTCCTCTGCGTCCTGTGAGCAGATGAAATGTGATCAGCCAGCTTTCCACTCCTACCACCCATGCTTCTTTTTCTTCCACTTTGTGGGCCTTTGCACACTCTTTGTGGCCTAGACACTTTCACACAAGTGGACGATCCCTTTCTCCACCAAGTGATGATGTGATAGTCCTCAAGAGACTAATAGGCACATAGTTTTTGTTTTCAAATCAGGTAAGTGAGAACCATTATTATTCATTTTTAAAGTCCCAGCACGTCACCCCTGTGTTCAGGATTGTGGGATGATTTTCTTCTGGAGATGCAGGCTCCTCCTGGCTTCCAATGCCCTACATATTAAATCCCTTATTTACCCTTCCCTTCCTTTCCCTGATCAACTCCTAGAAATCCTTTTTAGTTGAAGAACTTAGCTGATAAAGTGAGTTTGTTGAACTGGAATTCTTCCCAGACCTTCTCATCACCACTGTGAGTTAGATAGCTCTCTCACATGCTCTTAGAGCATCCTGTGTACATCCTAGAATAATGATTAATAAGTCATTTCTCTTCTTGAGAAACACCTGTGGCTGGTGAGCTTTCAATAAATTCTGACCGTGGAATAAATGAGTACATGAGGAAATAGAGAAACGCCACTTCCAACCTCTGCTGCTCTGAATCTTTTGATGAACGCCCCCCCCCTCATTTTTTGGTTGTTATTGTTGTTAACAGTATCTTAGTGTGAAGCCTAGGCTACCTTCAAAATTGTTAGCCTCCTGCCTCACCTCCAAAGTCCCAGGATAATAGGCATGTGTCACCATGCCTGACTGACGGTAAACGTCTTCTTTTATAGGTCCTGGACATTGCATCAGCTAAGTTCCTTACCTAAGTTCTGATCTCTAGAGCCCATGTAAAAGCCTGACACAGTAGCACAGGTCTATAATCCCAGTGCTCTCCAACCAGGAGATAGAAAAAGGAGATGGGAAAATGGCCAGAAGATCACAGGTCAGCTAGTCTAGTATACAAAGCCTTGAACAAGAGACCTTGCCTCAACCAAGGTAGAAATCAAGAACTATTAACCAAGATTGACTTCTGACCTCCACATAAGTCCCATGACACATAGCATGTACACACATACACACACACCTGTACTCACAGAAACATGTACATATGTATACATACATACAAGCATACAAATACAGAAAGGTAGAGGGGGGAAGCGGGGGGGGGGAAAGAGAATACAGCGAACGGACGTGCAGATATCAAACATCAGCTAAGATGGTAACTCAGCACAGCAGTTTCAAACCTAGAATGAGCTGACTCGCTCACACCCAAACACAGGCCTGGTACTTTCTATGGATCATAAGCATTTAGTGTCATTACTCATCCTCATGGCCCAAGAAACCTTATGATTTCACTTCCATTCACATCTCTAGCCAATTCCCACTGTCCTCATGTTTCCAGTTGCAGAAGCCTGTTTCACTTCCAGAAAGACCCAGCTGCCCTCCCCAAGGTCTCCTCAAACAGTGAATGACTAGCATGTGAGGAGACCTTGGGGAGGGTAACTGATGGGACATCCTCATCCCACCTATCACCGCCCCCCCCCACACACACACACAAGCATAGGAAGGGATCAGCAGATATGATCTGAATCGCTAAATGTTACTAAAGTAACTCTTCCTGTGTGGTCTCTGTTTCTTCTCATGTTACTATCCCAACTATTTTCCAAGTCTGGAGAGTTCTGACTGCTAGATCTAATCTCCTGCTTCACCAAGTGCTCTGCTAGGAAAGCAGAAAGGCATCTGAAGCTCCTCAGTGGGTCCATTTAAAGACAAATGCGGGTAAAAGGATCCAGACCGCTCCTTTTTAGGATCAGGTTTTCCCATTTATAACATTGCACTCGTTGGGAAACTGCATTGCTCCCATTTAAGCTCACGTAGAGTCACTTGTAGCCAATTTCTGGGGGTGGCAGAAGCAATTAAAACCAATTACACAAAGACCTAATTTTGATAATCTTGTATTGTCAACAAATGACTCACAGTTTGGGCATCTGCAGCTGGGTAGGAACAGTTCATGGAGATACTGTCACCTTGGACCATGTGTTCTCATTGGAGGCGATGGAAATTGGCTCTCATGGGTGTGCAAAGGCATGCAAAATAATTGTGCTTTTGTTATGTTTGAATCACAGATGTCACGCACTATATTCACAAACATATAGTATATGAATAATGTTAGAGTTTCATGAAAACCACATCATGTGATTCTTTTTATATGAAATATCCATACCAGGCAAATCTACAGAGGTAGAGGGTGGCCTGGTGGTTGTCCTGCTGGGGAAGAGGGCTACGGGCTGTTGGGAATTATTTGCTAATTGATATGCTGTTTACTTGGGGGAGCAGTAGATTAAGTTCATACAGCACTCCCTTGCCGCCAGTTTCTGGGGTAAAGTTGGGTAAAGTCTGCACTCTGTAAATATGATAAAAAGCCATTGATTTGCACACTGTGGGTGGAGTGAATGGTTTGTGATTTCTCTGAAATAGATTGTTTATGAAAATGCTTCCCTTCTTTTTTTGTTTGGGTTTTTTTTTTTTTTTTGAGACAGGGTTTCTCTGTGTAGCCGACTGTCCTGGAACTCGCTCTATAGACCAGACTGGCTGGAACTCAGAGAATCACTTGCCTCTGCCTCCCAAATAAAGACGTGAGCCACCACTAACCAGCTCTTCTTTTTTTTTTGTTTTTTAAAAAAATGTTTTTTGAGATTTTATTTTATGTGTATGAGTGTTTACCTGAATCTATGTCTATGTGCTATGAGCACACAGTGCCTTCGGAGGGCAAAACAGAGAACTGGATCCCCTGGGACTAGAGTTATAGCTGGTGGTGAGCAACCAGGTAAGTGCTGGGAATGGAACAAGGGTCCCCTGGAAGAACAGCCAGTGCTCCTAACGGTGGAGCCATTTCCCCAGCCCCTTAAAAAGATGTTTCCTTTCTTTAAAAAAAAAAAAGAAAGAAAGAAAGAAAGAGAGAAAGAAAGAAAGAAAGAGAACAGAAAGAGAAGGCATGGGCAAAGGAGAGCAATTGGGGGCAAATACGACTCAAGGAACCAGCAACAACAAAATGAGAAATATTTTCTTGAACTAAAAAAAAAAATTCATTTAAAGCTTTTTTCATTTATTTGTGTATTGGTTAATTTATGTATTTATGTATGTGTGTATATGTATGTAATGTGTTTGTATATGCATGCATACATGCATGTGCCATGGTCTACGTATGGAAGTTGGGGCAATTTAGCATTTGGATCCCAGATATCAAACTCAAGTCATTAGGCTCTGTGGCAACTACCATTATTTTCTTACTGGCCTCCAAATTTCATTTTTAACCTTGATACTCCCAGCCCAGATATCAGTGGTGACATCTCACTCCTCAGAATGGTCTAGGTTAATCTTCCCCAAACTAGCCAGTGTCCTAAGGGCCTCATCTCTACCAGTAGATGGAATCTGAGTTGTTTTCTCTGCCCAAACCTGGTTGCTATGACTAGGTAGGCATGCTTTATAAAAGTCAGGACTCATGTCAGTGACCGACCATATTAGAAACTGTCTCCTAGTGCTGGCAGTATAGCTGAGTGGCCCTATTACTCAGTCACCAGCCCACACATTCATTCATATTCCCCGACCACCACCAATTAGAAACTATCTCCTTAAAGCTGGATGTTTTCGGCCACAGAAGAGTCCCTAAGTATAAACTCACGAGTTCAGCCATGTGGGTGAGTTCTCAGGATGACAGACTCTTTGATGTTCAACAAGCATGGCCTTATTAGAGATGCTCTTGCAAGGGAGGGCTAGGGTATGGGGATTCACATAAGCTGTTACACAGGACTGACAATATGTTCCACCATCCCCAAGAGAAGCCCTGGAGCTGAGATGGCCCGTGTGAATTGTCCCAGTGAAGGGACTAAGTCCTTTATTCTTGAAGGAGTGTCTGGATGATTCATCCTAACATCCATCCTGATCAACATTTCAGAAGTCAGGCCACTATTGAAATGCACCAACAAAGGCTCATGGGATACTTTGATTGCTGTAACTGGACTGCAGAAATTAGTGTTACCGGTAGATTCATTTTTTTTTCAATCTCAGAGCCACACAGAACGTGTTTCTACAGAATTATATTGCTTATGGCACTAACACTAATTTATGTTAATATTATAAGGTAAAATACAGGAGCCAGCCATTATCATGTTGAAACTGGAGAGATGGCTCAGAGGTTAAGAGCACTGACTGTTCTTCCAGAGGTCCTGAGTTCAATTCCCAGCAACCACAGGGTGGCTCACAACCATCTGTAATGAGCTATGGCGCCCTCTTCTGGCTGCAGACATATATGCAAACACAACACTGTATACATAGTAAAGTAAAGACATTTAGATAATGGTGCCAATGTTGTTTGTGCATTACAATATCATGTGACTGTAATGTGGGGTGGGGGGTGGGGGGGTAAGGGGGGTGCACTCCATGACAGTGTGTCCACCCTAATGCAATCTCTGACAAGCAGGGAGTTAAAGCCCTGAGGACAAAGGAGCCACAAAAGAACCTAAAACCACAACTGTAAAAACAAAACAAACAAACAAAAACCTCAGCTTTTGACAGCCAGAGACCCAGAGAGATGGCGGTTGGGGTAGAAAAGTGGGAGTGGGGAGCAGGCAGTGGCCTACAAAGATCACCTTAACAACAGGAATAGACAAACTTTTGATGGCTCTTCCCTGATTGGTCCTAATTCTCATCTTATTTGCATACCCACATTCAGTGCACCAGGGTCAGCTGGTGCACCATAAATTTGAATGCTCTTGGGCTGTGGAGACAGAACATGCCAAGAGCTTGATGGAAAAAAAAGAGAAGGACAACTGCCAGGGACAGATTTGGAAGCTCCCCACACCTGAGGCTCCTTCCCCTGGGCAGGGAGCTTGTTTGAGCTAGCCTCCAGGACTTGACCAGCAGCTGGAAGCCGGAGGACTCATTCCTGCCTCAACCTCCAAGACCCTTCATCTGGCTGTGGATGGGAATTCATTCCTGAAGCTGCTTTTAGCCTTCCAGACCTGCCAGAGATAAGGAAATGAGAGACCTACTGCTCCTGTTGCTCCCATCTGTCACCTGCTTTCTGCAGAGTTACTCTGCAGGGGACTGCTCCTGATTGACATCCTGAAGTCTTTCGAGAGCTTCCTGGATTTGTAACACTCCTCAGAGCTGTGCCAGTTCTCTGCTAGCGTTTCGCTGCTACAGAGACTTCAGACTTGTCTTATTTGAGTATTTGAGATTGTTCATTCCCGTATAGCAATTTGTTTAAAGTTATCTTTGGTGGCTGGAGAGATGGCTCAGCACTTAAGAGCACTTGCTGCTCTTCCAGAGGACCCAGGTTCATTTCCCAGCACCCACGTTGGTCAACTCACACTGCCTGTAACACCCTCCTTTGGCCTGCATGGGCACCTGCACATACATACACAGATGCAAATAAAAACAATAATAAAATAAGCCTTTAAAAATTAAGTTACCTAACCCATTTAAAGTTGTTAATTCCAAGTTAATAATCAAGCATCTCTTGTCTGAACACTGCTCACTGTCTACCCATTCAATTCTTGGAGAGAGGACAGAGAGGAACCCAGTTGAAGACAGGAGATGGTCTCCACAGACCAGTTCACTGGTGTGAAGGTCATATATTTGATCTGAAACTTGCTGGTGACTTGATCTTGGAATTCCCAGCCTTGAGAACCAGGAGAAATACATTTCTGTTCTTCATCAATTACTCAATATGTAGTTACATCCACCAGAATGGACTTTGATGAAGATTAGCATCAAGAAGTGGGATATTGCTATAACAAATACCTCAAAATACGATTGTGGTTTCGGAACTAGGTAGTAGGTGGGTTTAGAGGAACATTATAGAAAAGGCCTAAATGTCATGCACAGCCATGTGGCTGATTCTGCTGGGGAGCTCAAGGCACTGGAGAGAAAACCTGAAGTTCCCCGGCTATTACATAAATAATAGTAAACATTCATAATATTATTAGACAGATGAGCCATTCTTATGAAGTGTCAGACAGAAATGAGGAGAAAGACATTGGAAACTAGAGGAAAGGCCATCCTGTCACACAGCGCCAAAGAACTCGGCGGAATTGTGTCCGAGTCATTTGTGGAAGGCAGAACCCAGGAGCAATGAGTAAAGCAAAATGTTCAGAATGCTGCCTGGCTTCCTCTGGTTACTTAGAGAGTGGGGAGAGGGAGAGGGGAAGGGAGAGAAGGAGAGAGAGAAGGAGATGGAAAGGAAGAGAAGGAGAGAGAGAGGGAGAGAGGATGAAATTTATAATCAAAAGGGAAATAGAACATAAAGATCTGGAAAATTTACAACCTGGCAGGAGAATTAAAAATAAAATGCTTGGAAGAAAACACCAAGGGTGTGGCCGGGCAACTTTTTCTGATATTATTATGGAACTAGGTGCTATCCATCAGGACAACAGAAGAGTGTCACTGATGGCTTCCTGGAGACTATCGTGGCTGTCTCAATCATCATACTCCCCAAATGGCAGAACCTTAAGAACAGACCAGTTTCAAATGAGAGGCCCTGGGTAGCCATAGGACCTCACTGCTTACTGCCCAGGGCCACCTGGAGTTTCTGCCCCCACGCTTTCAGGTGCAGTTCTCTCTGGTCATCCCAGCTGCACCTCACATGTGACTAGATGCATCTCTGATGCCTTTCTGGAAGGCACCCAAACAGTAAACATGTCATTCATGAGGTACAAATTCAGAACCTGTGCACAGCACAAGAATTCCAGACCTGGATGTTTCAGTCACCTAGATATCAAAGAATGCCCTGTAGAGTCTTTGGGTAGCCTTAGACTCCAAAACGGTGGTGCCATCTGCATGTGGCACCTGTGTGGGAGAGGGACACACATAGGACTTTAATCATAATGCTTCTGTGTAGGCTGTGCTCAGTGAATCCCCTGGGGTGAGGCAGCCAGGGAATTGGGAGCTCAACCCCACTCTAGTGTATCTGGAAGGCAAGAATGTAGCCAAAGGTTACATTAGAGTCTTAATATTAAATGCTGTTTGCCTTGTTGGCTTTGGGACTTGCTTGAGACCCATTAGCCCTGTCTTCCTTCTTTCTCCCACTCACAATGGGAAGGTCTACTCTGTCCTGTCACATCATCTTACTTTGGGAGTAGATAACTTGTTTGCTTTCACAGGTTCAGAGCCGGAGTGCAGTCTGCCTCTGAATGAATCGCACCTTGCAGGTCTCTCTAGGCTTTAGACTTCTGAGTCGGGGCTGAATGAGCTGCAGATTTGGTGGCTGTTGGGATGTAAGGAAAGCATTCCTCTTCTGAAAAGAATTTGGAAGGTCAGGAACACAATGCTGTGGCCTAACAATGCCTTCAAAACTCTTATGTTGAATTACTCACCAATGTGATAGTATTAAGAGGTGAGGTCTTGAGGTATGGTACAGCCATTTCCCTTCACAAGACTCAGGAAGTAAATGAAACTTGTATGTCCAGAAAGCTGAAACTTAGAAAATTCACTAGCACAGTCTCTTAAATTTTTGTTTTGTTTTGGTTTGGTTTGGTTGTTGTTGTTTTGTTTTGTTTTGTCTTTGTTTGTTTGCTTATTTTAGAGAACCCAGTCTCTCTAAGTAGACAGGCCCTAAGCAGAGCAGAGTGGAAACACATCCACTGCCTTGCCATCCATGGATCAAGGCAGCCTAACCACTATCAAGCTGCATGGGTTACATATTAACTGAGGTCCACTCCCCTACCCAGAGAGTGACCCCTGTCAAACAGCCTAAGTCATTCCTCCAGCAGCGGAACATAGCACAGCCCACATATTAACCAAGCATGCTTCCTTGCAATGTAAGACCTTCCCTGCCCTCAAAAGCCTCCACGATGAGAGTCTTGTT